ACCAATGGTATGAGAGGAGCACAGCTTTCACTCCCAACCAAACTAACATTACTAACCAATCAGAATGTTTTGCTCTTATAAACATGAGACGCGCATAATAGTATCCAATTGCGGAGTCGCAGCCCTGATGAATGGAGAAGTGTGACAAAACGCTGCGAGGCGCAATGGTCAAATATGTCCATCTAGCGTATATTTACATAGAAAAACAAATTAAAAACAGCGGAGCTTTGTAAACAGCTCAGAGTAATCATGTCATCTCCATAAAACGATATGATTGCCAGATCAAATTTACTGGGATTTTTGAAAAGGTCCTGTTCACACATGATCTATTAATGGTAACTTACCGGTAATTTACCAGTACTGTGTGTGTGTGAAAGGGGCTAAACTCTTCCTCTGCATATGTCATGAATTTGAATTGCTTAGCGTTCATCTGGAAAAACAGTGCATTATCTCACTAGATTTGTAACGTAAATCATTTATAAACCTTTGCCAACACAAGAGAATACATCAACCTATGTCTAAATATGCCATGTATTTTTACATCGCGATTTCAAAATAAAAGTTACTGCATGTGGCCAAATATTAAAATTAATTTAATTTTTTAATCACGCTGTAAAGTGAAACGTCACCATGCCATTGGTGCCCTCTGCAGGTATTTGTTTTAATACATAATGTACTTAAAGGCACAATATGTATTTTTTTTTTAATTAAAATATCCAAAAACCACCAGAACAGCGTTATACATTTTGCTGACTTGTGTACTTGCATTATCCCAAATGTTTCGAAGAATGTTTAAAACCAGAGAAATAAGCAATTTTAACTAGTGACACGGAGCGTGTCCATAGTGTCGTTGTGTCGCCTGCCAATGACGTCATACCCCCTCGATTTCCGGTTTTGTTTTGTAGAAAACATGGAAACACCAAAGACGCTTTAATATGTTGTGTACTTTATTAGACCGGTGACGACTGCACAGAGTAGCATTATAACAGAACTTTCAAATTTATCTAGAATGATAAAACAGCGCTGCTTTTTTCTCCCACATACACACGACCGGAAGGAGCGGAAGCGGTCGACTGTGGCATAATAAAAGCTCCGCTGCTTTCGAGCCGTGTGTCACGCTCGTTCAGTGGCCTTGTTTCGCTTCGACGGCTTTCAGCCTCACCCTGCTTCATTCTACTACGTTAATAAATCATTAGCTCATCCATGAACATGATTTCTGCCCGAGTCCCGTCAGATTGTGTTGACTGTGGGGATGAAGACGACAACTCCCATGATTCCACACTCTGTCATGCCGTAATCAAACTACGCCTTACATATTGTGCCTTTAAGTTGGTTATGTTCATATTATGTATAGGCATATTACATTATGTATTTTAACAGTGTTGTTCAACACAATCATGTAATTTCTTGATTTTGATATTTTATTTGAGCCAATTATTATTGCCTCATCATTAGTTTATATATAAATAGTCATACTAAAGCCTGGTTTTCACTTAGGTCTGTTTGTTACTAAAAAATATCAGATTACTCAGTTGTCTAAATACAACTGCATTGTTTTACTTTTTGTAATTAAAAGACAAATATTTTGTAATTGAAAATGTCTTAAAAATAGTATTAAAATATTATCTGTATTTTGTAAAAACAAGTATCTGTATTTTGTCTCATCTCGTGAGCTAAGTGTATTGTCACACCCCTAGTGTCGATAAGCAGTGATATAGCTCATAATTTTCCAAGTGTATGATATACTGTAGCTTTCATTCTTCAGGTCAACCATATATTCATGAAAAAAATCAGTTTGAATAAAGAAAGCAATAACTTTGCCATACTATCCTTTCAAATGTTAAAGTTGCCACAGTCATTGCATGCTTTGCATGTGCTGCCACGCCCCACCCCCGGAAAAAAGTTCAGGCTCAGGATTTTTTTTTTGCTTTAACCCCTGCACATGGCTTCTCCCCTATACTTAAACATTTGACAGCCACAATCCTTTTTAGGATTGAGTAATTTCAGCTCTCAGATCTGTATTGACATGTTTAGTGGGTGGAGACAATGCGTTGTTCAGTTGTTATTATGCTGTTATGTCGATTGAATGTTTCTCGTTTTCCTCTGTTGCAGTAGCTCTGTTCCTGCAGAGAAGCGGAGGAAGAGGTCCAAGTGGCTGCTGGAGGATGCTATTCCTAATGTAAGCTCTGTCACTTCACTGCGACACCAGCCGGATAACATGACCTTTCTTGTCTGGTTGAAAACTGTGTTCTGTTATTACGGTTACTACTGTAAGACTGTCTAATAAATAAAGGGTTCTAGGCCAGTTGCATAAACACAGAAAATGTGTCTTAAGATCTAGCCATCTAAAAGTTTGCTAAAGGGTAATCAGCCTTATATTTCAGATTCAAATTAGGCCAGTTTACATTAAGTAAAAAAATAAATAAAAAAAGATGCAACTGGCTGCACTGATCTATAGCATTTTCAAACTATTTAACACTATTTTTAAATACTGGATGAGTTTATTTATCAGTGGTCAGTTAATATGAGTTGCTCAGTGGCAAATATTGATATTTAGAGACGTCAATACAATTCAAATTAGATGGATTTTATATGCACATATAACCCCTTTCAATAATTTTGGGTTCAGTAAGATTTTTTTTTTATTTTTTGAGAGAAAAAAAAAAGTATGCATTAAATTGATCAAAAGTGACAGTAAAGATATTATAAGATTACAGAGTTTGTATTTCAAATAAATGTTGTTCTTCATCAAAGAATCCTGAAAGATGTATCTCGGTTATCACAAAAATATTAAGTAAATATTATATACAACTGTTTTCAACATTGATAATAATAAGAAAGGTTACTTGAGCAGCAAAACATTTTCTGAAGGATCATGTGACACTAAAGTAATGGCTACTAAAAAATTCAGCATTGCCATCACAGGAATGAAATGACATTTTTCACAAATAAATTCACAATATTGCTGTTTTTACCGTATTTTGATCAAATAAATGCAGCCTTGACAAGCATTAGAGACTTCTTTCCAAAAAAAAAAAAAAAAAACATTAAAAATCGTACCAACCCCAAACTTTTAAATGTTTAAATGGTATTTGATATGTTATACAATTTAATAACAGCAAATAAGAAATGCTCAAAACTTCTGAAATTAAATGAAGTGTTTGATATCCATTCACAAGGCTTTCAGACACTTTGGTTAATTGGCCAGTTGGGTACAGTTACCAGAGGATGCTATTTTTCTTAAAATGGTTGTGTATTAGATGTTTAATTGGCCTAGTTCAGGGAGGTTCCGACACTTTTTGTCAGCCGATTCCATTTGATCTAAAATATTTACTTGAAGTACCTCCTTAGATTTTAGATTTCAATAATTTAAGAACACGTTCGCGTATTCATAGTTCTCTGATGTTGGTTAATGGTCACATGACATGCAGGTAAACTAATAAAATAACTTTTTTTAGTAAGTGTTTTATTTTTGTTTTTATGTTAAAGTGATTTATTTATTGTAATTTTACATTTTACCGATTTAATTAATTATTAGGTTTTTATCAACTCACAAACCCCCTGCAGTTCACTCACGAACCCCAGGTTGGGAAACCTGATATATATTGATCTATCACTAAACCACACACACAAACTAAATAATTCAGTTTGTGCCGTTCTCTTGAAATCAGATTCATGAAGAGGTGAAGTGTTGGACTACTGAGGCTATGTTTGACCTGTCAGTGCGAATCTGAGCTTTCCTTACCGAGATTTTGTGCTCTAGCACTTCTTGAAGTTTCTAGAAACCCTCAATGGCTTGCTCTCAAGCAGCCGAGTGAATTGCTACTTGTTTCTTTCAGCCGTTTTTCCACACAGTTTCTTATGTACGGACTTAAAGCCGATTTAAAAATGACCTGTGTGAAGTTTACTCTTCGATATCTTCTCCTGCCTCTCTTCATCGCTCTCTAGCATCTGCCTGCGCCCCGTGGTGATCTTCTTTTCATTCCTTGACGCCTGCTGCCATGCAGACCTTGCATTTCTCCCTCGCTTCTCTTGTGTTGTTTTGTCTCTTTCTCGCCTTCGCTCTCTCTCTCTCTCCCTCACCTTTATTCTCGCTCTGTTGGTGAAGCTACTTTGAAAGCCAAGCTACAAGCTACTCATGATTTCAAGTAGCTGAACTTCAGTCAAGCTAGCCTTTAGCACAAGAAGTCAGCTGCACTACAAGCCACTAACAAAAAGTCACGCTTCTGACAAAATCTAGTTGGGTTACATCTCTACTTTTAGTTTGTTACTCCCCAGCTCTCTCCTACCCTCTCATTCTGTCTTTCTACATTTTCTAAAAAGGATTACATTCATCCTCTGAAGCATTTAACTGACAAATCCTTCTGAGAGGTCTCCAGTCCCCAGGCGTGCTTTACTAGAACTACACATCCTTGACACTCCAGGCAGCATGGCTAATAATGCCATGAGCAACTTCAAAGGCGGCATTAGAGTGACTGTAACAACCATGACGGCTCTGATTGGCATAATCAAAGCTGTGATTATCGTCATCATCCGAATGACAATCGACGATGCACTGTAATGAATTTAACATTGTATTTCATGCTTTGTTTGTGCTATCTTTGCAGAATGACCTCACGTCTACCTGGAGCACCAATCATCACATGGCCAACATATTCGACTTCACGCTGGACGAGCTGCAGAGTTTAAAGAGGTGATTTTTTTTATTTTTTTTTATTTTAAGACATTTTATTGTCTATTTTATCTATATACAGTAAATATTATATATATACAGTGGGGAAAAAAGTATTTAGTCAGCCACCAATTGTGCAAGTTCTCCCACTTAAAAAGAAAAGTTTTTGTTTACATAATATATGTGTGTATAATGTGTATATTTAGTGTGTATATAAAAATACAAACACATGCATGTATATATTTAAGAAAAATATGTTATGTTTATATGTTCAGTATATTTATATATAATATAAAATGTAAGAATATAAATATATGCATGTAAATATTTTCAAAATTGTGTGTGTGTTTTTAAAATATTTTGTGTGTGTGTGTGTGTGTGTGTGTGTGTGTGTGTGTGTGTGTGTGTATTTATGTATACATAATAAATATACACAGTACACATACGTATTATGTAAACAAACTCTTATTTTGGATGTGATTAATCGCGATTAATCATTTGACAGCACTAATATATATTTATCTAAAATAGACATTTTATTGTCTATTTTACATTTTATCGTTTGTTAATTTTATATTAGTTAATTTTTTCCTCATTTGTAAGTCACTTTGCATAAAAGCGTCTGCTAAATGACTAAATGTAATTTAATTTAGATGTGTAGAGTGAATACTATATATTTATAATAAGTATAAAATATTTATATAATTTTTTTATTTAAAGTGTTATCCATATAATTTTGTAAAACTATGGGAGATGGACCTCGGTCCAACTTTTTAGTTGTGATATCGTGTTTCAGTCTAGATTAAATTCACTAAATATTATTAATAATGCAAATAATATTATTATTTTAGCTGCAGTGTAAATGAAAAATTAACACTTCCTAATACTAATACTCTACTGTAAGAAAAAATAAAAATACTCCCCCCTTAATTTCTTCACTTGTGTTTAAACCCTCAAGATTTAATTTTGGTTAAATTCTGTTAATTTTTAGTTCTTGTGAAAACAGGTTTACAAACATGAATTTAGTGAAATACTGTAATCACCCGTCCACAAACATTGTTCAATCAATATACAAATGCGAAATTATGCAAATATGAAAATAATGCTTAGCTGGTGCCTGTTATATACCCAAATGCACGTTAAACTCACAGCACATGCAGAGATGGAGGTCGCTCTATTCACTGTGAACTGATGCTGCGAAAACACTGAATCACAAACTAATATGCAGTGCTACAGACTATATAATTATTTAAATCACCACCATTTGAGATCTGATAAGAGCACTAAGCCATATTGCGCTTTCAATTTTAGTTTGTTTGACAAATGCTTTGCCAAAAGCAATAGTGCAAAACACAACATTAGAGACCTGCTTATGTTATTATGAGAAGAGTAAAATATTTTCGGTTCATTATGAAACAGTGGTGGGACAGATTAGACCATGGCGGGCAGCCAGAGTCTAGGTAATTAATGGGAAACGCTGTATAATTATATATTGTAGTTTTATTGTTTTGAGCTCTTGTTACATAATGTCAAGAAATTACCATTATCTTTGTGGGTAATCTTTTTTTCCGATAAAAAATATAATGCAAATAAAAAAGACAAGATAATCAAATCAGATAAAGTATTTAATTCACTAAATTGTTCACAAATAGGCATTACCACATGAATATATAGTGTAAACCTTTTTTTTTTTCAAAAAAAATATAACTATGCTGTCATGATGGTATAGTTATTTGCTAAAAATTACAATAAACATTATATAAAGCCATTTATCACCACCCATCTCTAATGTGAACGAAACCACCACAGTGAGATAGTTAGATGTGAGTTCATCAGTCTTGTCGTCCATGTTTTTCCAAGTGTTTTGCTTTTTAAATTTAGTGCGGAAAAGCCATAATTAAGCCATAATATTGCATAATCAATGTATGTTTGGTACTAGTTCATTATTCACCCTTGTCCTCTTAGTGACTTCATAATCCGTTGGGACCCCGAGGCACGTCGTAACAATTAAGTGCATAATACAGATATCCACATGCTTCGGGTTTGATGGCTCATTTGATAAGTCTGCCCTTTCATTTTTTTATAAAGTCGCCTCACCTGTGCTAAAACAGGCAGAAAATAATTGTCGCCTTTCCATCAATGTACATAATGAGGTCTCAATCAAATTCAGTCTACCTTCATCGGTCTCTCTCACGGCAACAGACGGCATGCTTAACCTTTTCTCATTACCTTTGATGTGAATGCTTAAGCATCTATTTATTGGCTTTCGAACAATCATGCTCATTTGCATCCATTTCCCTTTGAAATATCGGAAAGGTCTCTCACTGTTTCTCCAATCACAACCCCACCCCGCAGAAAATATATTTTTTATCAACGCGGCGGGTGAAGCGATTTAATTATACTCTTCTGTAAAGGTTATCATCTCTCAAACAGGCCTGGATAATGAGAGAATTGGAAACACTATTGGGGCAGGCAAAGCTTTCAGAGGCGAAAGCGGCTGTCTGAGAGGGATTGTTGAGGAGTTTAAAAGAGAAATCTGGATTTGGTTTTGGCCATAATAAAAAGGGCACGTTGGGTTTCATCACAAAGCCGTGAACTGTAGTTAATGACTGCCATCCTTTGAATGCTAGTCCTGATAAACTCTGTTATAGTCACAATCCCAGCACCGTATAATGTGTTGAATAGCAAGCAGAAGGTCGGATCAACTGTATTCTTTTGTATTCTTCAGTAGCCCTTTGTTTTGGCCTCGTGAGTATGGCTGAGATTAAGTTTATTGAGAAAGATAAGATTAGTAACATGAAGACAAATTGAAACAACTTTATTTTTCCTCAATTACTGTTTTATTTGAAAATTTGCAATTAAGTTGACAAAAAAAAAAGCCGAACCTCTGAGCCGAAGTTTAAATCAGTGTTATTTTAGAATTATTTATATACTATTATAGTGTTTATTATTATTTTGAATGAGCTTTTATTTTTATATATAATTTTTTTTTATGCTTAGTTTTAGTATTATTTCTTTGTGCTTTTGTCATTTTTACTAGATTTTTTAAATATATATTTCTATTTGGCTTTAATTATTAATCATTTTAATACTTCATCTTAAGCTTTTTGTATTTCAGTTACGTGCCAGGGCAACATTTAAAAATCTCTTCTAATTTAACTTTTTTCTAATTTAATACTCTTCCTTCATTTTTAGCACCAGTTCAGGACAGACGTTCAGCATGGACCAGGACTCCACCGATGCAGCCAGTACTTCTGGTTCCGCCACCACCAGCGTCTCCTATGACTTCAGGTACAGTTCATTTTCTTCAGTTCTGCAGACTTTACTGAGAAAAAAACAATTATGTATTTACTAAAGGATCGTTCATCCTATTCTATATTTGTCAACTCCCTGTGGCACTGACTAGATTATAATAATCACGTTCAGTTTCTGTTGGTCGGTCAGAACAGATACAGTTTAGCAAAAAATTAAGATGCATTGAGAATTGTTTGGGAATCAGATTGTGACTTTTTCTGAATAGAATCAGATCACTAGGTGCTAAAAGACTTCCACCCTTATTTTGCATGCTTTTTTTTAAATGTGTGTGGTACAACAAAATGCTCTCGTGAATATGTTTATTGAAATACATATTCTTACAGTATGTGCAGCCAGTTACATTTCATAAAACTTAAAAATACATCTAACACACTAGTAACAGTTCCCTGTCAGTGAGATTAATTTAGTTGTCTGTTCAACAAAAGTTGCGTTGTTTGCCGTCTTTGTATGTATAAAATATTAATGTTAAAAACATTAATGAGAAGACCATCTGGCAACAGTTGCACAGGTAGCATTATATACAATTATAATTATGATAGATTTGCAGTTCAATGTTAGCATTTCTTCCGGGGTTTTTTCCCCTTTAAAAAGGAATGTATTAAGTAAAAAAAAGAATTGAAAAAAAAAAGATTGAAATTCTTGCTCACACCGCAGCTAAATATGATCTTGTTTAGCCACAGGGCTGTAGATTCAGCAGCAGCGCAAAACGCTGGTGTGATGTAATTCTTCACAGGCCGTTGCGAATCACTCGTACTCTTGTAGATCCTTGCAACAGCATGTTTTAAATAAGTGGAGTTAAAGCCACACATCTGACATATGAAGTCAACCCAGTGCATCTTTCCAGTCAAAACATTTTCCCTGGATTAACCGGTGACCCGCTGGTACCTAACCCTGAACTACAATTTAAGTGGATTTGCGGTTGCTTTTTGAGGCGAGCCTGAGGGATTCTGGGAGCTAATTTGTCATGACATTTGAAGTGGTGACATCAGTGATTGCAACTAAACCTCCGGGCCACCAGGGTGCCTCTAACTGCTTTGCTTTCTAATATACATGAGCTCCAGCAATTGTCAGTTTGACTCGGTCGCTGGATTGACCGTGGCGGGTTTGCTGGAATTCCAGGCCTGTATCCTCTATGCTTTTCATCTGGCTCTTTCACAAGTGTCCTCTTCACGGCTACACTGCAACGTAATCAATATTGCTGTAGTGGGACAATTTGGCAGCGCGACTGTCACTGTAGATTCTCACCTCCCCTGCTGGGGTTGCACTCTGCTGCCCACGAGTTAAAGAGGAATAACAGGCATCCATCACCACCTGATGTTGTGTGTAAACCGCCTCTGACAGCTCGCAGAGAAATGTGCTGTCAGATTATGGATTATTTATGGTTATGGCCACTTGTTTGCTCCTGTTTATTTTAAAGATGGAGTCTGAAAATGGCAGTGAAACCATGCTAGAGCTGAGGATGTCATCAGTCAGTTATGAATTTGGATGTCAGTCTATCAGCTGTTGTGGTCACGTATCTGGGTTTGCTTTAGTGCTGAAGGTCAGATTCTTAAATGAATATTCCAAGTACTTTCAAGCTGTACTGTGGTGTGTTATCGATTACCGCAGATTTGTTTGGGTTATGCAGTAGGGTTGTGACGGTGAGGAAATTTACCGGAAAGGTAATACCGGTATCACTGCGGGGGCGGGGGCGTTCCCTCTTTTCCTCACTTTCCTTCGCTTTTAAATAGCTTTTGGTGTGCGCATTTTACTTTCACTTTCAAATAGCGGCAATTTGGAGTAAAGCAATTGTTCGTTTTTAGATCGTTTGAACTTTCCCTCTTTTCCTCGCTTTTAAATAGCTTAAAAGCGCCGAGCGTATTTGACTTTCACTTTTGAATTAGCGGCAGTTCAGCGTCAATTGCTTGAATGCAACATCAAAATACAACGTCAAACTCACTTTAGCCTATATATAAAACATAGAACTTTTATTAACAAAACAAATAAAAATACACCATGCTATAGGGCAGGCTATGCCTAATATAAAATAACAAATAACTTACATAAAGTTTAAATAGGTAAACAAAACTGGAAATAGGTAAACATGTATAATATATAACCAAATAAATAAGAAACGTAAAACGTTTATTAGCAAAACGAATGTCAAATAAAATAAATAAATGACACAAAGTTTAAATAAAGTAAAAATCAGCAAACAATGTGGAACCAATTAAATAAGAAAAATGTTTTTAAAAACTTCCAAAATCACCCTAGATAAACGGCAAAAGTCAACAGGCTTTTCAAAATCCCAAATATTGCCAAACAGACGCTTTTGCATTTCGTTTCGAAACTAAATCTTCCGCGATCATCTTGTCTGTCTCACCTCACTCTTCTTGTCAGTCAGCTCGACTCACTCTCCTCACTGGAGAAATGAAATCTGATCTGTCATGCTACTGTCGTTCGGCATGCTGCATTGAGCAGCCGCGTTCAGTTTTTAATTGTTTTCATTTTTATTGCTATAAAAAATCAAAACGACGGTGGGGGTTGGTGACGCGGTGGGCAAGTGACCTAACCGGTGTTACGGCTTAACACCGGTATCACCGTCAGCACCGTCTATCGCGGCAAGCCTATTATGCAGATTTCACAAACCGTCAGTGTGTATTAAGTGAACAGGAATTTTTTTTATAGTAATCGCTTAAAATGGAAGTCTAGCAAGTCTAGGGTTCACTTAGTCATGAAAAACCTAGCAGAGATGACAAGAAATATTAAAACTGGAAAAATAATGGAAATAAATATATTAGGGCTGGGATGATATGCTAATCTGCTGATTCAATACTATCCCGATACTTGTGTGCCGATTCAATATATATTGTGATAATTGAGTATTGCGATTTATATAACTATTGCGATTCGATATTACAATCTATTGTGATTTGTGTTTGCTTATTAAAGACCAGACAATGGAAAATACTTGGGCATACCATTAAAGAGACTGTAGCCTATATGATGAGTCATATTAACAAAACAATGCATCCCATCTTATTTCAGGAGCATACCCATACATAGTGTATATTTTAAAGTACATTGAACCATGAAACTTTCAAGTACCAAAACCCTGAACTTGCACATGAATATAATAGTCAAATGTTCAACAAAATGAGTATTAAAAAAATACTTTCTGAAATGAAATAAAGTGCTTTTACTTTGCATACCGTTTTAGTCCTTTGTAGTCATGTTTTCTCGGCAGTGTGTAAAATCCTAAGTGTTTCCACACTTGGGATTTAAAACGTGAAGGTGCAGAAAAAATTCTCGAAGAGGTTTGATTCTCTGCCTCCATCACGGTTTTGCTTTCTCGCGGCATCTTGAAATGTATACGATGTAGGGCTGTGAACCTTTGGGTAGACAGCGAATCGATCCGATTCACGATTCATAGGTTTTCGATTCGATTCAAGAACGATTTTTGCAAATTCAGAACGATTCAATTCGATTCGATTCACAATTAAATTAGATTCAATTAACGATTCGATTCTGCATTCTTTAAGTGCATTCACAGGATTATTTAAATGCTTCCTCTAAATTCTTTAAAATGCTTAGTCAGGGGGCAAATCACACAGCAGCCTTTATGGTTAGAGAACCAAAGGTTACAGAAAAAAAAACACCTTTGTCCATTGTTAGATGCTAGTAGGCATGAAATGGCATATGTAGAAATTTATGTAAGCCAAGATTTCGTAAGAACAGAAAAGCGCCAGGAATGGATCAAGTGCCCCCCGAGGCGGTAAAAGCAGGTGGAGACATTCTGGCCAGCCGTCTCCACATTAATCCGACTTATTTGGCAATCAGAGCGCATTCCATCAGCCTGGAAAAAACTATCAAGGGATCAGCCTGCTCTCTGTGGTGGGCAAGGTGTTTATGAAGATCATCCAAAAGCATCGGGAACAGACGAGTCGAGAAGAGCAAGCTGGGTTTCGTCCACACCATAGTTGCTGCGACCAGATCTTCTCTCTCCGTCAGTTGATGGAAGAGCGGATCTGATGTGCGAAGCGATTAGTGGTTGTATTCATTGATTTCAAATCTGTGTTCGACTGCGTTCACTGGCCATCCCTCTGGACAGCATTGCAGGTCGAACATGGGCCGCCGAAAATCATCCGCCTTCTCCAGAAGTCTTACAGTGGCTTAACAAGCTGCGTCAGAATCAGAAATGAAACATCTGAAGAGTTCTGCATCCGAACTGGGGTTCGTCAAGGAGATGCTGCCTCCCCAATCTTGTTCAACGTTGTGATCGACTCGATCATGAGGAAAGCATTCAAGGACAAGGAAGGTGTCCAATACGGCATTGACGGATATGTGACCAACCTGGCGTTTGCTGATGACAGCGCCGTACTGGCTGACACGGACGCCGAGGCCACCGACATCTTAAATGACATCTCTAGATTCGCTGAACCTTTCGGACTGAAGATTAACATCGATAAAACCAAAGTGCTCTCCACTGACGGATCTCCAGCAAACATATACCTTGAGGGGATTAAAATCTAACAAGTACAGAATTTTAAGTACTTAGGATCTCTGGTCCAAGAGAAGAAGATCGCAGTGGTTGCGAAAGTTCAAAATATCATATCGGTCAAGCAACAGCAGTGTTTGCATCGCTTAAATGGTGCTTGTGGAAGAAGGGTCAATATCACGATCGCGACCAAGATGCATCTTTTCCGGACCCTGATCATTCCGATTCTGCTCTATGGATCAGAGACTTGGACTCTTCTGAAGAAGGAAATCAACAAACTTGAGGTCTTTCAAATGCGATGTCTCAGGCAAATCTTGGGGGTAACTCGGCTCGACCGACTTCGAAACGAAACTGTACGACGACAATGCGATGACCAGTCCATGATCGAGGAGGCGATACAGAAAAGACACTTGCAGTGGTTTGGGCACGTGTGCCGAATGGACAGCACCCGGCTGCCGTATAAACTACTCTGGTGCCGACAACCACCAACGTGGAAGGT